TGCTCTATCTGCAGGGCCTGTGAGGGAAGGGGCACATGGAAGGATAGTGTGCGCCTGGCCCTAGGCTTAGGACCATCCAGGCTGGTATTGGCACAGGGAGCAGCGGGGAGCTACAAACAGGTCCCTTGGCTGGTGGGGACCACATTTGAGGTCCTTGTCCCTGAAGCAGGGTGGGTGTTCTCCCTGACCCCAGAGCCGCAGGAGTGAGCTCTGGATTGGTAAGCCAAGGGTGCGATGCTTGGTCTAAAAGTGGAACGAAACTTTGCATCTTGCAACAAGTGGGGCTCTGAAGGTCAACAAACTGAATAAGCCCCATTTTTCTCCTGCTGCTCTCAAATGGAAGCACATTCCATGGCACGTGGGATCTTTTGTTCATCTTCTCTGTGAAAGAACCATTTCCAGTTTTCAGCTGCAGATTTTACCAGAATTTAGACATTGTGAATTGAGACATGTTCATCTCCTTTACTTAAAATTCATAATCGCTTGTGCTGAAGACATTCTAGCCAGGACGAGATACTCGCTAACAGGTGGCCTTTCACATACAGTTCAAGTTTCAGGTTAGGGGCCCAAGTTGCATTTTTAATCCAAGGGAAGGCAGGATGCCAGGGAGGTTGGTAAGGACCAAGAGGCAGGAGTCCATGCCCCTCCCTGCAGAGCTGCCTGGAAGCAGCAGCTCTATCTCCTGCATGGGCAAAAATGGACTTAAGACATTGTTTTTTCTTTAAAGGAAAAGATGACTGATGGAGTAATTTCTGTTGTCGAATGGAGAAAATTCTGTGGGAAGCATTTTCTTTTTAATGTGTGCATAAAGAGTGGGGTGGGAAAGGGAGCAGAGCACATGACCTTCAATATGGACCCTGAACGGTGTGTATCTATGGTTAATTTGGAGGAGACTGCCCACCTACCTGCTTATCATCTGAGACCTCCCACCCACCCCCCAAAAAAGGCTGCCTGAGGCTTTAGTTGCTGCTGCTTCTCACATCCCCTGCCTCAAAAACACAGGAGCTCACCTAAGAAATCATGGCTGTTGTAGCCAGACATCACCCCGTCAGATAGGGTTTGGTGGGGGTGGGGGCAGCTTGTCCAGGCCCTGCAAAGACTGCTGGACCAGGACCAGAGGTCTGCACTGCTGCTGTCAGCAAGAGAGTGGAACCTGCTTTTGAGTGTCCCGTCACAGACCAGGAAGACAGTCTAGAAATTGGTTGTGCTCACGTACTATCCGAGCATCTGTTTGGTAAGGGCCATGGAGGGATTGCTGTTTCTGCTTTGTATGGAAAACAAGAATTCCAGTATGCTGCAGTCAATAAAAAATGCCTTATTCAAAAAGGAATGTGATTGTGAAGACATCCCCCAATTATGGGCTCACCTTTTACAGATACTCTGCCTTCTGGGTGGCTCTTCCCCCATGAATAGGAATGCTCCTTGGATATACTTGTCTGGTATCACATAAGTAAAAAAAAAAAAAAAGAAAAATTATATATACACACACAAGCACTCGTGTATACATACACGTGTGTATTTACCTGTATATGCATAAATTGTCACTGGAAGGATCTACATGGAACAAACTAAAAGGGGTGGTTCAAGGGGTGTTAAAGTTGGGCTTGTTAGGGATGCAAGGAAGACTTTATGACTTGTGAACTATGTGAAGGGATTACTTAAAAACTTTAGGAATAGCACTTAGGGAGCTCTATGGGCAAAGTTACATGGAGGTGACTAGGGAATATCTGGAGAGGCAAAAGAAGGGGCCCAGACAAACCTAGGGCCCAGACAAACCTAGACCCCAGGGGCAGCCCCCTGTCCCTCAGGAGGCTCCTGCTGAGGTTTTGTTGCTACCTGAGCTACAGAAGAGCCCCGCGTGACGTGCATTATGATGTCCCCTACTCAAGAGCTTCTACAACCCCAGGCCAACTTCCCACCAGGCTTTGGACGTGGCTGGTCCACACAAGAACCAGCAAAGACATTACTATAATTCTTAGGTAATGAATAAGGAAACCAGCTTTGAGGGGCTAACTTGCATAAAGACGCTTGGCTGTTGAATGGCCAGGGAGGATTTCAAGTCACTGCGTATTTTTTCTGTCCAGAGCTCTAGGGATGCCTCCCTGTGTTCATTTTGTAATTCTCGACCTTTCAGAAAATTACTACAGTTGTTCAGAATAGCTTAGCAGAGCAGGAGCAGGCTATGGAGGTGACAGGCTTTGAAGTGGGTCTGTGGAAAGGGGCAAATCATTCCCCTGATGGGCCCAAGAAACTTGGCATTGGACGAAATGTTCTTCATTTGTCAAGACCTATCAAGAACAAGCTATCTGGCAATGATGGGATGTTCCCCGTACTCCTCACCCCAAACTTCCCATGGGCCATCTGCTCCCATCTGGCCATTTCTGTCTTGTCCTGCTCCCTTCCTTGGTGGGTGCAGACTACAAGTACCTTACCTGCTAGGGACGGGCCCAACCAAACACACTGTGGCAAATAAAAGCGGCTGAGGACAATATCTTACGCCTACTCATTCAGGAATCCAGTCAGGCTGGTTTTGTTCCGTTTCTAAAGCCAGCTAAATTCAGCTATACCCCTAGCAATAACTAGATAATGATGCAGCCACCCATGGAGTTCAGTTGGGGCTGAGTTACGTTCTTTTAACCCACACCATACAAGTAACATCCGATCTTTGAGCTGCTTAAGACTCGTTAAGAGAAAGTAAAAAACTACCATGTCACCAGCCAGTGGCCCAAGAGCAGACAGACCAAAGGCCCCATGTGTCTAGGGATTTTCCATGTGTCAGAGATTAACAAAAGGCCACCATCAACTCACCAACAAAAGACAGATGTGGCAAGGCTGGCCTCTAAGGTATAAGCTTGTGCCAAGAATATTAGGGGATCCTTAATGTCCAGATGACATTACCACAGAAGGCTGTATTTTACTCAGAATTAAAGATAGATGTAAAAGTGAAGTGCTGGCCACTGGCAGTTACAGCAGTGCAGCAGAGAGTCCTGGAGGAGGACCCAGATGTGGGGAGCAAGTGCATTCAGGCTGTGTTGCGAACAGTTGCAGGAACTACCGTGAGTGGCGCTGGCCACATGCTGCAGGGAGACGATGGAGCCAAGAAAGATGACTGCGAGCGGCACTCCACGTCCAGCCCCACCCTGGGGGAAGAGCTGCATTTACAAAGCGCTCCGCATTCATGGGTGTTGAGGTCATGCCGGTGGTCCTCGTGGGGGTTTGTGCCCAGGGGAGAGTGCACAGCCTTCTTGAACTTTCCTCTACTGGCCGGAACTCCGCACCATGTCAACTTGCGCTTCCTGTGGTAACAGGAAATGAACTTATCTACTTCCCTACACATATAGGGACTTGTGGGGTGGTCTCCTCACACTGACACGCAGGACAGAAAAAGGCTGCAACTGGTGGGTTATAAGCGTGCTGAAGCTGTGAGTGGAGATCATTTGCAGTTTAGAACACGAGAATTCCTCCTTTGAGGAGAAAAATTCTTTTCTGTTCTAACCCCATTAACGACAAGGTGAGATTCATCCCAAGGCCATTCCATGGGAAATGGTGGGTGTTGGCCACTAATGAGGCTAGTCCAGAAGCAGGCTTATTTCTGAACTGGTCACTGGAAACCTTGCACTGTAAACTGGGTGCTTTGCAGGATACAGAACCCAGAAACGATGGAAGTAGGAACGCATGAAAAGTTCTTTTCAAGGACGCCCAACAGGCTAAGGCTTTCATATAAAAAGATCCCACACTTTCTTGCCCCATTTAGCCAGCAGCCAGTTGGCGTGCCATGAATAGGTCACACGGAGCAACAGCCAATTCTGACCAACTGGATTTGTAATTTTCCAAGCTGGATTCTGCCCAGCACTTTCCTAGGCTAGTGGGAATTTTCCTCCTCCTCTGGCCCCAGCCACCTGAGCCAAGGACAGGTTCCCTCTTCCATTTTAAGACCACAGAGGCTAGATTCCAGAAAAAAATCCCTAGAGACCTGCCACAAATAAGAGTAGCAAAGCTTCCTCCATCCACTCTCTATGCCATGCAGACCACATTTCCAACGAGAAACTGTCCTCCTCACACCTGTGGAATGGAGCAAAGCTGTTGACGAGGAGTCTACCCCATGACAGAAGGATGTAGAAAGAAGAAAACTTTCTATCTGACCCAAAGCCATTTCAGATAGCTGATTTGTACAGTATTCATGAATCTGAACAGATGGGGAGTCATTTCTAGAAAAGCTGGACAGAAAGGGCTAAAGAGCAGCATGCATTTCTCTCCTATAAAGACACTTTCAGTTACTTATCGCAAGTCTGAATAGTGAGGCACACACCAGCAGGGGAACAGTGTCCCGTAGGAGCTTCCTGACACTATTTACAATTTCAAGTGGATCCCCAGCTTCAGAATTACGTAAGGATCTTATTTGGGATGCTTCAAGTTGTTAAAACATCAATGACCGGCATTTTCTCAAGTAGAAATGGTATCTAGAAAGAAGAGAACAGGGAAGGAGAAGGGAGAGGCAAGGGGGTCAGCATCCTCTCATCACAGCAGGGCTGGGAGGACCGGCCATTCTCAGGAGGGAGCTCCCCTTGGGAGCCGTCTGAGGGGCTCACAGCAGCTCTTTACCAAGGCAGTGGGCTGAGACTAGCGGCTGTACCGGAGCCACACTGCATGTGGTGGTGTGGGCAGCACCCTGAGGCCCTCTGGGTCACAGGGACAGCATTGGCTCAGAGGTCCACACCCAGCTGGGGCTCCTGATGGGCAGCTTGGCCAGGCCTCACTGGAGAGTCGGGGAAATAAGAGGAAATGGCTTCTGACCAGGCCTTTCCAAGCACATCTAATGTTTCCAGATGATTTGATAAATAAGTGTCGTGAACTTGAGGGAGAAGCAGGTGGTGAGGGGCACTGCTGCTCTGTGATAACCAAAGCCCTTGGGTTCCAAGATGACCTTATCAAAGGAACATAATGTGAAAAGCCTTGTTGGCACTGCCTCACCAATCACTGGCAACCAGTCGTGCTTCAGCTGAGGTAACCGCCGGTTTTACTTGGCTCAGGGACTGCCGGGAGGGTCTGCTGCTGCAAAGGCATGCACGGTCTGCATAGAAGCTCATCTGTCCACAGGGTAGGGGGCGGGGGTGGCTTTAAAGACCTGCCCTCAGTTCCCTTCTCTAACAGTTCTGTTTATCTTCCCTTCTGCTTGATAAAGATTCACCTTGACATGGAGATAAGTATCTGGGAGACAGAGTAATGGCGTCAGCAAGAGACCCTCATGACATTTCTTGAAAATAACTGGAGGGCTCATCCTTCATCCACTCCTCTTCTCTTGGCATGGGGTAGTGTCAGCGTGCTTTGGTTGTCACAAGACCCAGAAGTCTGGGATTCCAGCTTAGCTGGCCCGAGTTCTTCACGAGGCAAAGGAAGTGGTAGCTGGTGCCCCAGGTAGAGCAGCCAACACAGAGACCACCTGTGTTCCTCCTGGCTCCACATGGACGTTGGATCCCGCAGCAGTTTGATCCTTGGGGAGCTATACAATGTTCTCTGCCCCGGGCAGGGGCCCCTGTGGGGGTCCACGGTCCTGCTTACTGTGCAGCTGGGCCAGCTGCAGAACTGGCATGTTGCACAGTGGACACACCTTCCGAACCTCCAGCCACTTAATAAGGCACCTGCAAGGTGAGACAACACAGGAGGGGGAGGTCAGTCCCATGCTTGTGGTGCCTCCTGCCCACCTCCATCATGGGTTGAACACCTCTGTCCCTTATAGCCAGGGGTCGGTGTGAACACTCAGGTCCCAAATAGCTCCACCAGCAGGTGCACCAGAGCCTCTAGTCTTCCAAAAGGTGATACTAAGAAACCACAGCATGCTATATCCTCAAATTATCCTGACTTGTTAATGAAGTACACTGAGGATGGTGGTGGGAAGTAGGAGAAATAAAAGTTTTTAATAGAAATAACATAAAATTGTCAGAGAAGGGGGAATATTAATACATCTTCGTGGCAGATGGCCTCCTCTACCATTTACATTCATACTTTATTATTTTGATTTAAAATAACCATGGTTTTGATTAAAGTAAGTTTTTAAGAATAGAAGCTCTCTTGGAAAGTTCCAGTTAAGTAGCTGCTTATAGCCCTGGTTCTAAGGAGGTGGCTTATCTGGCCCTCTGCTTAAAGTCCTGCCTGGTAGTCATGTTCCATCACCATAATCCCTCCTAATGTCACGTGTACACGTACACACACACACACACACACTCACCCTGTGGGGCACATTCTGCTTTCTGCATTGCAGACCAGTCATAAAGCTGTCAAGCTTGTCTGGCACCGTCCCAAGCCCACAAGTTGCTCAATACACCTCAAACACAGGTCCCTTTAAATAATTCCACACCAATACTCACTTTCTGTGGAAGGCATGCTTACATGGACAAATGCCCAACTCATCTCGAGGCTTGAAGTCTTCTAGACACACTGCACAGAGCTGAAAGACAAATTCACAGGTGAGGCAACATGTCTGCTAAGTACACTCGCAGCCCCGAAGTAAAGTAGAGACCCCTGAGGCCAGCCATTTGAAGGGACTTACAAGGTCCCATGACTCCTTAAGTGAAAGAAACAGGCTGGAATGCGCCAGGTCTTCTGAAGAAGAGTCTTCTGCTTTTCCTGTCACCTGTCTTCAAGATAGAGGGCAGACAGGAAGAGACAGCAAAGGCAGCTTCCTTTACTTCAGTGCATCGGCAGAGTCTCACTTAGGTTTATTCTTAGTAGACAGACTGAATATCATGCAATTTTCCTGTGGTGGATGAGGGGCTGACTCCCAGGGAATTCCTGCTCAGCAGCACGGCCCCTAAGGGCGACGGCTCATGCCCTGGGGGAGGGGGGTCTCCTTTGGTTTTTCATAATGTAGAAATTATAAACCATGGCACAGCCTGCGGTAACATGCTTTTTATAGTTCCTGGGGCCCTTCACTTTGGCACAGTCCTATCAGTGTCTTATAGAGAGTTATTCAAGAGTCACTAAAGTTAAACTTATGAAAATATACAGATGAAGCTGTAGAGAGGATCACCCTCTGACAGGTGGCCAGGCTCTACTGCCTGGAAAGAGACCTCCTCCCTCACAGCCAGATGCTGGGTTCTAACCACTACTATTTGGGCACATTCTAGCACCCAGGGATATCAAGTATCATTGTATATACCCACTTTACAGATGAGAAAACAGGCTCAGAGTAACCACCTTGTTGAGTAACCAGGCCTGGCTGGGGACCCAGGTCCACTGCACAGATGTCCTGCTGTACTACTTGTCTCCTGCCCAAAGGTTGAACTCCTCCCTGCTTGCTTCCCTGTCCATCTCCAGGGATCCTGGTTCAACCATCACTATTTCTTGTCCATCCCATTGACATGACCTCCCTGTTGCCTGTATCTTCATTCACCTGTAATATGTAACCCAGTCTTCTTAAGTTATGTGACAGGACACATGGCTCTTCGTGCCCTGTGGTCAGTGCTGTGAATGCTGGTTTCCAACACCCTTCTTTGGGGGAGCTCTCAGGGGGGGTTTGTGTATACAGTAGATAGGATCCTCACAAGAGGAGGAGGAAAATGGATAACTGTCTTAGGTTCAGCATTACTGTGAAGACAGCAGGGGAGAAGCCAGGACAGATAGCCTTGGCTCAAACATCCACTAGATGTGGGACCTCAGCCATCATGATGCCTCTCAAGCTCTGTTTCTTCATCTGTAAACTGGGGACACTACCTGCCCCACTGTCATCAGTTCAGACAAGGGGCAGGGCTGAGGAGGCAGTAAGGCAGGCAGTCTATCAATACTAGTGGTTTTTATTTACATTTAAATTTCATGATGGGTGCACTATTTTTAAGCCCATTTTTGACTTCTGGAGGAAGGCTGAGAATAAGCTATGAGGAAAAGTGAGAAACTAGCAGTTCCAGCCATGGGGGCCATCTTTTTGGGCTTTAGCTTCCCATCCGTAAAGGGGGATGATGTTCCCACCTCACAGACTATATGAACAGGCCCTTCTGGCTTTAAACACGAAGCTTCCCTCCCAGCACAGGAGGTAAAGGGGGTTAGGACTGCTGGCTCTTCTTCTCGAGATTCAGTGCTGATCCTACCAAAGGGCAAGAAGTTGGTAAGCCACTCATTTTAATTTGCTTATTTTTCTAGGATCCAAGATTAGATTTGTAGCGTTTTCAAAACAGAATTATGACTAATGGTTATAATGTGCTATTATATTCTTAAACAAATTCTAAAACCATAGTCACCCCCCCCCAAAAAAAAGATAAATTCTGACATGTTAAGTGCCATAGGTGACCAGAAGCCAAGGGTAGTCACAAAGAGAAAAGCCTCAGATCTGACTTCTCAAAAGTTCCATGAAATGCCAAACTAATTTTATAACTTTATAGATCATATTTTGCAAATCAGCTTTACTTCCCAGTATTTCAACAAGATTGCTTCTCCAGTGTAACTTCCCATACCTTTTTAAAAATGGAGATGTAATTCACATTAATATTCACCACTTTAAAGTATACAATTCAGCAGTTTTTAGTATATTTACAGAATTGTGCGACCATCATCACTACCCAATTCCAGGACATTTCATTCCCTGCCCCCAAAGCACACACCCATAAGCAGTCACTCCCCATTCCCCCTTCTTCCCAGTCCCTGGCAACCACTAATCAGCTTTCTGTCTGGATGGATTTGTCTATTCTGGTCATTTCCAGAATGAAATGGAATCATGAAATGATATCTTACAATATGTGGTCTTTTTTGTCTGCCTTCTTTTAGCACGATGCTTTCAAAGTTCATCCATGTTTTATGGCTAAATAGTATTATGGATATACCATATTTGTTTACCTATTCATATGTTGACAGCAGCTTGGATTATTTCTACCTTTTGGCTATTGAGAATAATGTTGCTCTGAACAAATAACTGAAGGATGCCTTGGGGGCCAGGTCTGTCCAGTGTCTGCCTTTAGCTCAGGTCATGATCCCAGCACCCTGGGATGGAGTCCCACATTGGGCTCCCTCCTATGGGGAGTCTGTTTCTCCCTCTGCCTGCTGCTCCCTCTGCTTGTGCTTGCAGACACACACACACACTCTCTGACAAAAAAATAAATCTTTAAAAAAGGGGGCGCCTGGGTGGCTCAGTGGGTTAAACCTCTGCCTTCAGCTCAGGTCGTGATCTCAGAGTCCTGGGATCGAGCCCTGCATTGGACTCTCTGCTCAGTGGGGAGCCTGCTTCCTGCTCTCTCTCTGCCTGCCTCTCTGCCTACTTGTGATCTCTCTCTCTTTCTCTCTCTGTTAAATAAATAAATAAAAATCTTAAAAAAAAAAAAAAACCCACAACAACAACAACAAACCAGACTAGTAATTGAGGTTTATTTTTTATTTTTAAAGATTTTATTTATTTTTTTGTCGGAGAGAGAGAGCACAAGTAGGCAGAGTGGCAGGCAGATGCAGAGAGAGAAGCAGGCTCCCTGCTAAGTGAGGAGCCTGATGTAGGACTCGATCCCAGGACCTTGGGATCATGAGCCAAACTGAAGGCAACCGCTTAACCAACTGGGCCACCTAGGTGTTCCATAATTGAGTTTTCAGTTCTCTGGGTATTTATCTAGAAGCAATTGTTAGGTCATATGGTAACTTTTTTTTTTTTTTAAGATTTTATTTATTTGAGAGAGAGAGAGAGAGATAGCAAAAGAGAGCATGAACAGGGTGGAGAGGGAGAAGCAGGCTCCCTGCTAAACAGGGAGCCTGACATGGGGCTCAATCCCAGGACCCTGGGATCACAACCAAAGCTGAAGGCAGTTGCTTAACCAACTGAACCACCCAGGTGTCCCTGAATTTAACTTTCTGAGAAATTACTAAACTGTTTTCCAGAGTGGCTACATAATTTCATATTCCCACCAGCTGTGTATGAAGGGTCCAATTTCTCCTTATCATCAGGTTATTATTATTGTCTTTTTGATTATAGCGATCCTAGATGGTATGAAGTGGTATCTCATTGTAGTTTTGATGTGCATTTTTTGACTAATGATATTGTGTTTATTGGTCTGTTACATATCTTCTTTGGAGAAATGTCTTTGCCCCATTTTTTTTAGTAGCATTATTTTTCTTTTTATTATTGACGTATACAATTTATTTATAAATATTCTAGATAAAAATCCCTTATCATATAGCCAACTGATTTTGACAAAGAAGCAAAAGCATTTCAATGACAGGACAACTTTTTCAACAAATGGTACTGGAGTAATTGGACACGCATAGGCATCAAAAGCATTATATCACCACTAAACCAGAGGAAAAAAAATTGATAAACTGGACTTCATCAAACTAAAAAGATTCTGTTCTGCAAAAGACTTGCTAGGATGAAAGGACTGATATAAAATATTTACAGATCTTTTTATTTTGTAGGCTTTTTATTATTGAGTTATAACAGTTCTTTATATATTGTGGATACTAGACTCTTAACAGATATAAGATCTGCAAATCTTTTCTCCCTGTGGGTTGTCTTTTTACTTTCTTGATAACGTTATTTGAAGTACGAGGGCTTTTAAATTTTGATGAAGTTCAATTTATGTGTTGTTTTTTTTTTTTTTTTCCTTTGGTTGCTTGTGCTTTAGGTGTCATATTTAAGAAACTATTTGGGTTATTGAATCCAAAGTCACAAAAATGTGTATCTATGCTTATTTCTAAGAGTTTTATAATTTCAGTTGTTACATTTAGGTCTTTGGTCCATTTTTTAGTTTATTTTTGTATATGGTGTGAAGCAGGGTTCCAACTTCATTCTTTTGCATAATTTCTTCATCTAGTTATCACAGCACCATTTATTGAATCAACTATTCTTTTCCTATTGGATTGTCTTGACACACTTATTGAAAATCAATTGACAGGGGCACCTGGGTGGCTCAGTGGGTTAAAGCCTCTGCCTTCAGCTCAGATCATGATCCCAGGGTCCTGGGATCAAGCCCCGAATCGGGCTCTCTGCTCAGCAGGCAGTCTGCTTCTCGTCTCTCTCTCTGCCTGCCTCTCTGCCTACTTGTGATCTCTGTCAAAAAAACAAACAAACAAACAAAAAACAAACCAATTGACCATAAATGTGTAAGTTTGTTTTTGAACCCTCAATTCTGTTCTGTTGATCTGCATGTTTTTCCAACTGCTAGTATCACAGTCTTAAATATTGAAGCTTTAAGTTCCAAAATTGGGAGGTGTGAATCCTCCAACTCTGTTCTTTTTCAAGATTGTGTTTTGGATATTCTGTGTTCCTTGCATTTCCACGTGAATTTTCAAGTCTGCTTGTCAATTTCTACCCCCCCCACCAAAAAAAAAGACAGCTGTGATTTTGATAGGAATAACGCTGATTCTGTAAATATTATGGGGAATATTGCCATCCTATCAATAGTAGGTCTTCAAAACCATAAACATAGTAGGTCTTTCCACTTATATAGGTTTTCCTTAATATCCTTCAAGGATTTTTTT